ATTGAGTCATCCTTATGTTTTCACACTGGGAGTTTCTAATATAGTTGTGTTGCATACTGTTCACACTCCAGATTGACTTTTCTCCCCCTAGCAACAGATGCTGTGATTTTATTCACACTTTCTGACCTTGGATGAATGCGTAGTACATCTGTTCAAAACCATATTTTACAGAGGCCCAGATCATGATACTTTCCACATGCTGTGCAATCCTTTGAGTTTGAAAAGCAGAACCTTGTACAACAAAGAGAAATAGGTATCTATCTCCTCTTTAAGACCTGAAGTACAATGAATATCTCTCAGTTGTCCAGCACCTACCAAGTAATTTTTCTGCTGCTAAACATCTTAATTCAGAGGGTGACAAACAGATTCAGCAAAATACCTGAGTACTGTGGACCTAGTGCTTCAGTGCCTAAAGCTTATGTGCCTACCTTAGCAGCAGAATACACAGGGCTGAATTACCTAGCTGACCCAAAGTCCTTAAAAATGAATCAGGGAGAGTTTTGTGTTAACTCGCCTAACTCATACCCTAGTCACAGCAACACTTACAAAGTAATAATAAGGCTTCCAAACTAACACTGATAGGAATACTCAGATCTGGTCTTGCAGGTGACAGAGAGAGCAATCACTACTGAAAATCCTTTTTACTGAAACAGTGTAGTAGATACTGGGTTACCAAGACACAGGGACATCTGGAGTCAAAACTTTCTCCTTTGTCTGTAGATATCTGGTGTTTCTTCTCTCATTAACAAATGTTATAATCACCAGGCTATAATGCATACTTGGGAATGTTTTCAGTTGAAGCTCTTCTAGTGTGAGCAGCATAAATAAATAGTTTTGTGCTGGTACTGGAGCCAGTGGAAATATTAYACAGACCAGAGGTCAAAGCACTCAGTAGGGAAGAAGAACTAGATGTGCAGCCAAGCTCCARTAAATACTTAAATGTTGTGCACAAAATACAAGCGTCACCAGTAAGAAAGTAGAAAGTAGCACTTTCTGGGCAGATTACACCCGGGCTATTTGATAGGGTACCTAGAGGACTTCCACAAATGTGGGGTGACTTGCACAAATGTTGCAGTCTGCTCAGATATAGATAGGATTTGAGCTGCTGGTTCTCCACCCTTCAGGCACTTCAGACTAAGCAGCAAGCCACTTACTGACTGCTGCGAGAGCTGGATTCTGTTGTCTTTATGCAGAGTTACCTACCCTGCAGCAATCAAAGGCTAGTCACGGTGTCACCATCTATCTTAATTTTTCCTACAAGTCAACCTGGAGATAAACTGCCAGGTTCCAAAAACTGTTTCCCAAGGAATCTAGACAATTGCTAGAAAACTTAGTGTGACACATAAGCTACTGCCTATTTTCTATTGTCAGCCAAAGTTTCACTAGCACTTACAAAAATAATAGTATTACCAATAATAGCAATTTGACCTAGTCTAATCAATTTCTCATTCAGAGAAATGAGTCATATAATCAATATCAAGTCTTTACAAGTGGACATAGTAAWTTCCAGGAAGATATGAAGTGCAATTCACTGGTACTCATTAGCAGCATGTACCACTGCAATGAAAATTTCAGTAATTTCTACTATAAAATGCAAAATTTCCAGTGACTCAGTGATCACAGTGACCAGCAGAATATATGAAAAAAATGACAAGATTAATGTGGGTAAAAACATGATATGGAAAAATTTACAACGACTGTTTTCATCACTGGCAAGATGCCCACATGATATGTTACTATAMATCTTAAAATGTGCAATTTCTCCTTCTTGGGATAGCTATAGCAAAAAAAAGTTAGCAAGAACATCACTGTCCATCCTGGAAAAATCAATAGGAAAAGGTTATGTGTTTATTAAACTGAAGACAATTTTAAAAGAGTGTTGACTGAAGATAGCTTTTTAAGTGTTCTTTGTGGACAGAKGCAACCTTGTGATATGGGGACCACTAATTAGTCCCTCTAATCTACAAATTAGAGGAAGAGATCAAATGAAACAACACCCTCCGCTTGGGAATATGCCCAAGGCAACTGTTACCATTTTCATTAAAGGCCACATAAATTTTGGAGCAGCACAATAAAATATTGCTATTCTCATTATGTAATTGAGGTCCAAGAGAACTCAGTCTAATATGGCCTGTGTGAGGAGTTTGTCCAGTCAGCAGTTCAATGTATCCTGGAAAGCAGGTCTTGGACATAAGCCTGAGCTGAGAGGAGGTTTGGTAACTTAAGTGTTATTTAGAACTCTTGGAAGTAATCTTTCTCCTCCACAGGAAAAGTGGAGAGGAGATGATGCAGACAGTGTGTCAGTAGAAGAGGTAGCTGCTCTTCTCTCATGTGACAAAGTACGTTCAGTAAGTGGGTTTGTTGCCTGCAGAGCTAGCACCATACATGTGTCCTAACCATGACACATGGATGGGAGCTTCATGGTTGAGCAGCAAGAAACAGCTGTGGATCCTTCCGGCAGTTACAGCAAGAYGGCCAGTAGACTCAGCTAAGGGATGCTTTGCCTAGCACCTGGAGAACCAACATCACTGCTGCAGTGCCTTCAGACCACATTGGATCTGCCCATCACATTTGGAAGCAACAAGGAGGAAACCTAGTTATCATTGTAAGATGTTCCTTCACAGAAGCCTTGTAACAGTTCAAGGAGACAGACAGGGACATGGGAGACTCCCAGGGTTTTCACAAAACACTATAAGCCTAGTAGGTATGAATGGGGGGGTAGAAGAAAAAGAGAGTACTCAGTGGAATCATCACAGTTTGTTCCCTTTTTTGAAGTTTTGTACTTAGCATTTGAACAGGCCAAGAATTTTTACTTGTGAAGGCCAGCACTTACACAGGTAAATATATATGAACAGCTCAGAAAAATTTTAGAGGAACATACCTCATATGGGGACTGTATTAGATGCCCTTCGCTATCTCTTCGCATGAAGCTCTGTGCTACATCAGTCATCCTGGATGGTGACCATGACTTGTTACATAAATCTCTATATCTCTGGCATATCTTTTTTTGTTTTGTTTTGTTTTCTAGTTCTCAGATGTTTGCAGCCTGCCAGGTTGATCTTTAAATGACTTTAACTGTCTCAAATGTTGAGTAATGTAGAGTTCTCTCTCACTTGGCTTTTCCTCCTCCTTGGATTTAAGCTGCTCAAGATCCCAAAATTAATTCCAGGAACTATTTTTCTCCTGAGATATAGAATGATGTCCTCCTACAGCAGAGAACAGGGTTTTTTTTTCCAGAAAGCATCAGTAGTCTATTCTTCACTTGTCTCACACTTACTCTCCTGACATCTACCAAGCCCTTGCTAAGAAGATACAGTTTTTGATTAATTATGTTCCAGAGGGTCTTATTGTATAGAGAACTGCTTTTATTATCCTAATATTTTCTTCACTGATGGCAGAAAGAGTTCCACCCTAGGATCTCCCTTACCTTGCTAGGACCCAGAAAATGTTGTGCATCTCATGGACTGTGAACCAGGGGGACAGTTCAGGTACCTACTTTGTGTTTCAAGCTCATGGAGAGCTCAGACTCTCAGGGACAAGAGGTTAATTGGAACAGATGCTATTGCAGAAATTGCTTGATGCCCAGAGATTACATCTTCCCCTCCCTAAGCCTCTCTGTGGTACTGGACTGCATGATCTTTCTTGTTTTTCTCACACTGGGTTTCTTTTCATCTTTTGAATCACTCCAGACAATGGCAATCTTTACAAATAAGACAAGCCCTCCTCTTTATATCAGACATTCCTCCCTCTAGGGATACAAGCAAGCTGGGCTGAAGCAAGAAGTAATTAAGGCCCGTTTTAAAAGCTGTGTGTTTCCCCTTGTATAGCCTTAACAAAAGTTGTGTCTTTCTTATACTTTATAGTGGTGTATTTGTGTTCTGCTTTTTCTTTAACCTCTTCCTTTGAAAAATACTTGCACAACTTCAAAGGTATCTCAAATACACCAAAGCATCCCCAAAATGGCTGATGTAAAAACTTTTTGACTTCAGACCAGTCTGTCCCTCTCAGAATAGAAAAAAAAAAAAAAAAAAAAAAAAAAAGGTGGTTTCTCCATCTTTGGAAATTTGCGTTTTGCTGGTTTGAAAAGATGCAGCAGAAGCACCTCTGAGACGCACAGAATTCTGTCCCAGAACTGATTCTGTTAGTGGGAATGAACAAAAAAATGCTAATGGCTCCCCCTCCTCCCAATGAATCATGTCCCAAAGCTCATTATTATGAAGAATAGATAGAGAGGTAAGAGATGGAAACTAAATCTGAAATCATAAACTCATTAACAGACATCTATGACCATCTCCCAAATGGCCATGAATGTGGGCCATCAGGTATTTCTGAATAACTGTTAAGGTCTGAGGAGTACCACAGGGAAGACAAACATTTCTTCATTGAAAACTCCTCCTCAGCAATTTCATAGTGAAGGCTGAAGTTGTACAAAGGCATAGGCGCAAGCAAAGGAATAGAGCTGGGAAATATCCGTGCTCTGCCCCTCCTAGGAAAAGGCTTCAGTGTTGACCAAGCMATCCATTACTGGCTGTAAGGTGCTATTGCTACAGTGAACATTTTCTGCAAYCTCTTACTTCTGCCTCCAAGTCATAGATCACATTGACTGTGAACAATCAAAGCACTCATCAACTGAGCTTCAGGTTTAAATGTGGCTAGAAAGMTAAAAGGAAGCTACATTCTGCATGCAACTGGAGATATTTCCTCTGTCATTTGTCATATATTTCCACTCAGCATGTAAATATACCATGTCACCACCTCTTCCAGCCTTTCCAAAGGGGAAAGTCTTCCTGGTATATCACTTCATGATTGATCTTCAAGCAGCTCTGAGAATTAGTGGGAGGTTTTTTACACTCTTTCTTACAGGGTCTGAGATCTGTATGCATCCAAGACATATCCCTCAAATGCCTTTTACTGGGACAGAGGTTTTTTTTTTTTTTTTGGTAAAACCAAAATTATTCTCTGAACTTCAATGACAGAAAGAATCAGACTCACAGAAGCTGTTTTATCTTGTGACTTGACTTTCATGTTTTATTGGAAATCTCTTGGATTTGGAGAAATCCCGAGGTTGCTGGAAATTTTGGATCCTTTGTTCCAAAGATCATTTGCAGGCATCACTTTAATCCATTTGAAGTTATTTACCCAGGTGTAGAATCTAGGTATAGGTAATAATAAGAGTCTAGTTAGGAGCCAAAAATATATAAAAATAATAATCAAATATCATCAATAATCATACATTATATATAATCAATAATAAAAATCCTAAGTATTTAGAAAAAAAATTATAAAGTCAGAATTCCTGAATCTGTAAAGTGAGAATTCCTGACATTAGGAAGAAGTTCCATTTTGAAACAACTAATATAAGTTTGAAAATCTGGCAAGAATATAATACATCYTGTCAGGTGTTTTATAAACCAGATATGCTCATAAGGCTATTTCATTGMAAATCATCTGTTCTAATTGAATGGGAAAAGGAAAACTGGATCCAATACATCCACTTTATATGAAAGGAACCTGGTTTCCCCTTTATTGATCATCAGGATTTCTCCATCAACTTCATAATTTACTTATGTGCCACCCAAGTGCATGCATCTTTGCACAACAGAAAAAAACACAGCCTCATAAAGAGGTGAGACTATGCCACATAGATGACTTTAGATCATGAAACCTAGATTCTGGTATCATTTAAAAGCAGACTACTACAGTAGCTTTATGTCTGAGAAATACGTATGTAGCAACAGGACCAGAAAGAAGAAAAAAATGTGAATCCTCAGATACAAAAATATGTATGTCCATAAGCATGCATGTCTTCAGCACATATATTTACATATCCATGGTGGAGATGAGACCTCAGGATCTASTGGCATCCAACATCAGGAAGATGCCTGGGTAAAAGTCAACAGTGAAAGTCATAGGCATTGCTGCCAAAACCAGCAGTGCTCAAGGTCTGCTTTTACTGTGCCGCTGCCAAGAAAAAAAGTCAGTCCAAGACTGGCAAAGTCAGTGAGAATTTGGATGGACAGAGGAAAGAAAAGCAATAACCGAGTTGCTACAAATTCTTGTCCACATTCCTGGGAAATCTCTTGGAAGATAAGTGAACTACAAAACTAGCATCTGCTGCATCAAAGAGAAGAACTATTACAGAAAGTAACGTGCTGGAGTGTGGGCACTAGTACATGAGTGTTATGCCATTTACTTCTTATAAGAGGTTTTATTGTGTAAAATAGCAGCTGAGAAAGAGGTTTCCTATAATTGTTAAAAGTGAAAGTCTGAGAGGATTTTAAACTCAGTCAAGCAAACATTCAAACTACAGACATTTTTTAGTTAAAATAAACTATATTGGCAAAAGATATTTTAAGTTTATAGTCATTCAAAAGTTCCAAAAGCTTTAAATGAGGTAAAAGAAAATATATTTTGGGCAAAATGCAAGAATTAGAACTCAGTGAAGGCTATGTGATGCTTGCTTTAGAGACTAAGAAAAAAAGAGAGAAAAAAGAAAACAGGAGAGGTCATCTATTCCAAATCTAATGTCCCAGGGCAGGAGGCAGTATGAATTATTTTTTACAAGGCTCCCTATTATAGACATTCTCTCTAAGAACAGACTCTTCCACCATGCCACCAGCCTTACCTCTATAAAGCTTTTCCTAATGTTTAAGTGATGATTTTCCTGTTATGGTTTAAGCATATTACTCATCCTACTCATCATAGATATGGAGATCARAATATTCTCACCATCACTAGAGTCTTTAATGTACTTGAAGACTGCTCTCATTAGCCTCTTAGCCCTTTCTTTCTTAAGGGAGCAACCCTAGCACTTTCAATCTTTCCCATAGGCCATGAGCTCTTATTACAAAGCAAGCTTTGGAGGCCCCTGAGAACATGTAACCTTATAAAGGGGCCAACAGAGAGCAGTGCTCTCATTCTGCAAACTAGAGCTCAAGATCTCAGGCTCATGCACCCTGGCCCATGGAAGGTCATGTAGCCATACAGACTTCCTAACCAAATAAAGCTAAATGCAGACATCAGGGATTTATTTGTTTGCACTTGTATCTTTGTATAAGTGAAAGAGACAGTAAGAGGGAAGTTGGATAAAAGCAATAAAAGGAGGCTAAGAAAGCAGCAAGAAAGTCGTAGGGAGAACAAGAAAAAAAGTCTTGTAGAATTATTCCCAAGAAAGTCTCAGAAGGGACTATTTTAGATAAAGTGTTGAGTGGAAAAAGGCTTGGAAAAGATAGCTAAAAAACTGTCTTCTGCAGTTTGACGTTGCCTGTCTACTGGCAAATAGGACTTCAAAATAGGACCTTATTTTCATAGCAAGATTATATTGTAGAAATAGCAAAAACCATCCTCAGCTGCATCTCTGGTAGAAATRGCTCAAAAGAGTGTGCAGTTCAGCTAATTGTTTAGGTTGAGGGAAAATAAAAGTTGTAACTTTTCTAAGCTAACATTTTTAATAAAACATGATTTGCTTTTTATTCCATTCCAATTCTAACTAAAGATTTGAAACATTCCTGTTTCCCCATTCCAGGTTGCTCAACAGGAGATTGCATTCCCATAATGTAAAGTAATGTGAGAGATTTACCCTTCCTTGATACTAACAAAATTATGAGGTAGTATTTTTTTGGTGTAATGTGTGGTGGCATCTCCCTCTGGTAATGTGATTTATTATACCCACTTTACATTTTGCAAAAGTGATTCATGTGGCCAAGTAGCCTTAATGAAAAGTGATGCCTGGAGCAATGTTTTCCCAGAATAAAGAGCATAAAAAACCCCTGCTGCCCTTTACCCATCTATGGTGATGCATGAGACACAGTTTCTCCGACACCCAGTGAAGCACATCCTTATGTAAATTGTACAAAGATTYAGTGTTTTTCAGGTGTCAATTAATACTCGCTATTCATTCTTTCACATGCAGAATAGAAGTCTGAAGACAGAGAGCCTTSATAGGAAGTTATAAGTGATGCCAACATTTATTTATATATTCTTACGCAAGACAGGCCAAAAACATTGCCATGATGTAAACTGTTGGATGAAACAGGGTTTTGGCTGGTGTCTGCAAGCTTTTGCTTAAAGGCCTTGAAAAGGGAATATTTTTCTTAATACAAGAAGAAGTTTTCTGTACAGAAGAACAGATGTTTCTTCATTCCATATATTTTCATTTTTAAAAATATTGTAATCAACCAGATTTGTATCGAACTCCAATGCAAATTTACTTGCTGAATGAGGGATTAAACCATGGAGCGCTCATCCCACTCCTACACCTGACCTGATGATGCTGTGGGTCCAGGCTACCCTGGAATTCAAAAATTTCATAAATYCAAACTGGAATTTATCCATCCCTGCTAAGCTGCCCACTGATGYACAAAATCAATTTCCTTCAATTTAAACTGGAATTTCTGCTATCTACCTATATGAAACAYGAGTGAAACAGTCTGCATTTTAGTTAACTGTGAGAGTGTTAGAGGTGAACATGACATTCCTTACAGTATTAGGTATCATTGTGACTATCTAATAAAGCAGCGTGACGCAGAGAGCTGGCAATTCCAGCAGAATTAAAACAAGTGTAAGTTTCTTGTTTTAAAGAAAGATTTTCTGACTTCAAAGTTAATTTTCTCTTCCCATCACGGGAAATCTCTCCACTGCAATCTGACTTACTAAACATTATACCTGTTTGCTAATTATGTATTTAATAAATTGCCATGAAAAACAAAAGAAAAATATCTTCTTTTTCCCTATTATATTATCCCCTGCAATTATAATATCTTTCCTAATCTCTTTTTCCCCGGGACCATGCTGACCCATTTATTACTGGCAATTAAATGAGCTCTGAAATCCCATTGTTAAAGTGTGCAAGATCTGTCAGGTGTTTTAACATCCGTTTCTACAAGTTCCTGCTCTTTTCTAAGACAAGGGAAGTTGACATCTCCAACACAAAATCTAAGTCTAAGATTCTCTGATGGCAGGTACTAAGTCTTCCTATCTCTGATTAAAACAAGAAATATGCAGTTGGATTTTTTGCATTTCCTCAGGGGATTTGTGCCAAGTAAAACAAAACTTGTGCTGGTGTGTGATGCACATGGTGAAGCATTCTATCTCCAGGTGAAATATGAAGATAAGTCTCATTTTACAACAGTAAAGAATTTGTAAGCTGTAAAAAGGAGGGAAAATCCTTTAATATACACTGAGGATCATCTCTGGAATTTTCTTTGATGTGAACTAGCGTCTGCTTCTGAATTCCTCCAAAGTAACGGGATCCTGGTTGGTGCATTTTCTCTGCAGTCATGTGATACAAGTAAGTTCAAGCTTTCTTCATAGACAATATTTTAGTAAGAAATGTTGCCAGTCCTTGCTTACATAACTGTTCTGAGTTTTGTTCACATTTTGCCTTAAAAAAAAAACTTTGCAAAGGGTATTCTACACCCAAATTGTACAATTACAATAATGTGCTGCTTACTGTCGGTTATGGGTATAGTAATATATTCCCTTCTCAAAGAAAGATCCCTTTATTAATATACATGTGGACATTCTTCCTTCTTAGATTTAAAAGCAAATGTAGTAGTGGAGAAGTTTTTCCTGCATGAACATAAACATGAGGCAAGATTTCTTTGCTGAAAACCTCCATGCTGAAAGACAAGCATATATGCACAATTTTTGTGTCCCTGAACTAAGGTGAAAGTCTGTGGTCCCATCTTCACAATCCTTTACCACTGCATCAGTGTACCCATTCTATAGTATAATGTGAGGTTGATTTGAAATGATTTGTATGTTTTAGCATTTGTGCAGAACTGTCAAAGTAGATTTTTGTCTACATAAAATCACCAATTGCATATTCGATTACATTTACTTTCCATTGCAAGATGGTAGGCTTTCCTGAGCTTCTGGGTTTCCAGTCAGAATTCCCATCTTCCCATCTRAGAGGTAACAGAGTAGGTTTATTCTGATCATAAAGTGAATATACACAGGATAATTTCTGCTGTGTAGAGACTTTATTCATCTTATGGGAAAGATAATGCATATATACTAGCATATATACTAGTAGATGAAAGCAGTGCAGTATCTAAAGATATATATTCCCAGGAGGCAATTTATCTGAAGGACCATTTTTCTGGTGTTCATTCATTTGTATGGAGGTGGTATTCCCAGACTGAAAATGAAGCAAATGAAGGGGCTTCCCTGGTGCAAAGTGATGGATGATGATTTTGTTGCTACTGTCAAGAGATGCATTAGACTAGGTTTCTCATTCTGAAGACACTAGATGAAAAGGGATTAATTTCATGACCGTTGGGAGACTGAATTTCCATTCTTAATTATAAAATGATGCCCTATTATAATTTTCTCTGAGGTACCTTAATGATTGAAGCTGAGTTACTTGACTCAGGGACACAAAGAGGTTTCAGACGGCCCAAAGGCAAAACTTGAGGCAGATGATTTACATAGCTGAATGTGCTATCCTGTGAAAAACCAAGGTCCTTTCAACCTAGGCAGACTGCCACACCAGCTTTCCTCTCCCTGCTTGGCCTGGTAAAAATGGATTTTTAAGAAATAGATGTTGGGAATTTGAAAATGTTTATCATCATCATGATCCAAAAATATAAAACATTTAAGAAATAAACAGAATAAAACTTTCCAGGTCTTATTTCTGATGTGTGACCCCATGCTGTTTCCAAGACTTGCATGTGTATTTACATGAAAAACTGTATATATAGCATCATTGATTTCTTTACCCTAGAGAATTAGTTTGCATTATTAATCTGCCCTTTCCTCAGGCCTTTGCTCAGAAAAGAGGTGATGTCAATGTCAAAGTTTTCTGAAATCATGCAAGACACAAATTCACCGACTAAATACAGTGTCATTTCAGAGACACTACGTTATCCTGTATGGCATCCAGTCGCACCACCAGCAGATCTGCCTTAGGGACTGTGCCAGTCCTGCCAGGACTCTGTGAGGATTTAAAATGCCATGAGTCACACAAGTGTGAACATAACTGAGCCCATTCCTCACAAATACAATGTCAGTACTCAGGCAATGATGGTGGTAAAAGGCCAATAAGGTAATCCCTGTTGGAAAGCTCAGCGCCAAGTCAGTGCCATTTCATAACACTACATTTGCACCACCAAAAATACGCTCAGCCTGTGTGACCCCTCACAAAGTGCAGCTGGCAAGATTTACAGCTAGAATTGCTGAGTCTGCCTTGAAGGACAGCAGACAGTATTTTGCTGTTTTGCGGCTGTTTTTTTTTTGGTAGTTTTTTGGTTTATAATGTCTGTAATAGGGTTACCTGAATGGTAACTGACCACAGTGTTGATTTTAGGAGAAGTAAATTATGGTAATTTATCACACTGAGTTTCTCGCTAATGTAACATGATGTGAGGCAAGGATYACCTGATATAAACTGATGCTAAAGCCTGGATTTTCATGAAACTAATGGATATGGCCACATTTCCCTGAGAGCCAGTGATGGATGAGGCTTGGTTTCCCTGATGTTCTCTGATGCATGATGCTACTTTTCTTTATAAACTAATCCATGTCAAGGAGTATCCTTGACTCCATTTAATATATGAGACAAGGTTTTTCCTCTTCGGACATAAAGGGAATTCAGAGAGACACTGTTTTTTGCTGTTCAGTGATAAGTGGATGCTGTATTTCACTCTGCTCAGAGAAATTCATTTTCTCAGGCACTGCTGCATATTAAAGAGTTCCAATCTTTTTCTACTACAGTAAAACCTGGCTACATGCGTAGACAGACAAAAGTAAAAACGAGGCTGTGCTACCATTTACATCTGTTAACACCAGCTCACAGGCAGTATCTTTTGTCAAGCAGACCATTCTCATGCAGGCCTAAATAGATGGAAAGGTCTTTTCATTAATAATTTTAGAATACATTAGCATTTTTTTTTACTATCAAGTAATAAGATCATAGATTTCTTTTTAGGTTAGAAGGAGATAATCCTAACTTTATTTAGTAGTTATTCTCTGCAGCCCTCAGCCTTATCTGTAATTTGCTGACAATATATCTCTGTCATTCAGGATGTTTTACATTATCAAATAAATTCTGATTCTGCTTATATCACAGGAAAAAATGTATTTTGCAATACTAATTTTGGACAAAAATCAAGCTAATGGCAATAAGATGCATTATTTTTCATGTCTCAGACTTAAAATCACTTATTGAAAATAAAGTTCCTTTGTTCAACTTCTGTTACGAAATTGAGGCCCAAAACTTCTTTGAGCATCAGAGAAATCCAGTTTCATATATTGTTTTCCGTGCCTAGAGAAAGGCAAAGCATTTTATATCTATAAAGGCATTACAGTTTCCTCCCAACTGCTGTGACCTTTGCTCTTTAGGTCTGCCTACCTAAAGAATGGAATTTTTATAGGAGAGCTGAGGGAAAATCAAAATGAGTAAAGCTAAGCAGTAGAAAAACATTTCTGTGTCCAGGTAATAGTCTTGCCATTGTTAGGATTTATTATCCTAAAAAAATCAAGAGTCTTTGAGCCTTTGAGACACCTTTTGGGGCTATTATTCCTASCCCCCTCTGACATAAAAGGACCAGGTCTCACTGCTATCTGACTTGTTCATACMTACTGCAAACTTTCAGGCATGTAGCTGTGGAGTCCTTGGTCTCACAGGGCTTCCCCTCATAGAATGCTTAAGGTTGGAAGGGACCTCAGAGGCCATCTAGTCCAACCCCCCTGCTCACGCAGGGTCACCCAGAGCACGTGGCACAGGGCTGCGTCCAAACRGGTTTTAAAGATCTCCAAAGAAGGAGACTCCACAACCTCTCTGGGCAGCCTGTGCTAGGGCTCTGTCACCCTCACTGTCAAAAAGTATTTTCTCAAGTTCCTGTGGAACTTTTGGTGCGTCAGCTTGCGGCCGTTTCCGCTAGTCCTATTGCTGTCCACCACTGAAAAGAGGCCGGCCCCCTCCTCCTCACTGCCTCCCTTGAGGTATTTATAGACACTGATCAGGTCCCGCCTCAGCCTTCTTTTCCAGGCTGAACAGGCCCAGCTCCCTCAGCCTTTGCTCATAGGGCAGATGTTCCAGGCCCCTGATCATCCTCGTAGCCCTCATATGATGATTACTGAATATACATATCTTCACATTTGTGCAGCTCCAGTGGATGTTTCCAGATGACCAATATGTTAAAAAAAAATAGACAGAGTCACTCCCTTCACAATAGTTCATAAGAATCCTTTGAGTTCAAAAAGGCTGCACAACTTAGGTATCCATATCCATTTTGCAGTTACCTCAGCCTTACAAAATTATCTGTCCTTTTGAATGTTGGCAACTTCTGTTCCCAGGGACTCATTTGTGGATGGTGTCTATACAGTCCAGTGCAGAAGCGTGCAACGTTATCTAAGCTTTAGACAAGTTAGTTGTATAGTAGCAAGCAATTTAGCCAGGTAGGTATTGCACCTTTAAGTAACAGTGCTGAGAGTTAGGGTGCATAGGCTAAGATGGAAGGTGCTGCTAAAATATCTCTACTGCTTCAAGGCCCATGTTGGTATCTCTTTACCATGCTGCATCATACCATACTGGAGGAGCAGCTTATATCAAGTTTCTCAAGGTGCTTCTGTGCCTTTGCACAGAATTGCTGTTGGGTATATATGCCTTTTCCCATACTTTGCCTGGAAGACCACTGATAACATCATCCATGCCAAGTTGCCAGTTGTATGATTATGACTATTGAGAAGAAATCTGATTTCACTTGGATCCTTACCTGTTCTTCAGAAAATCCCAGCCTCATATATACTATGTGATGGAAAACAGCTGAATCTCCCACTTTATCTTGGAAAAATGCAGGCTTGTGCTTGTGCTTCCATTTGCAGTATAAATATGGAATGTTAGACAAATCTAACCTCCTATTTCTATGCATCCAGAATCCTGCCTATTTCTCTATGTATCCAGAAAAGGATCCACATGATTTTAATCAAAGCAGTCAGTCAATGTCAGTTCTCTTCAGCCAGGAAATCCTTCTTTGCTCATTACTGGCATTATATCACCTCAGCTTATACGTGTTACTTTTACACTGTGAAACACTACGGTGGTGCATTCATTTTGTGACTCAGTAATCTCAAACTCACACTACTCTGCTATGTACAAAAGATCTCTTACCTAGACAGTCCTGCCTCAGAAGGACAGGAAACAAGCTCCATGCCTGTCTCTGCCTACCACACCTTACACCTCACTTTGCCTTGCGTATTTAGCATTTACTGTCGTCTATTCTGGAAAGAATCCAAGTTTCAGCATTGTTCTTGGGAGAAACAGGCCTTATCACCATACATAAGGCAAATTCAGCTTCCTGATGAATTTAAAACAAGATATCCAGACATAAAATGATTCATGAAACCGACCTTTCCTGGAATAAACAGCTCCATGAAGGAGGTTTTTACTGATCAAGTCTGATGAATGATGTTCTGTTTTTTGTACTTACCATGATCTGCAAGAGCTGAAATCATGAAAGGATGAGTCCATCAGGCTAGGCTTCTTCACAGACATTGATAAATGAGATTTCTTCTACATTATATGAATTGCAGAGTAAGCTTTATTGCTGCAAAATAATGCAATTTCTTTTTTCCTTTTTTATCTCTCCCATATAAAGAGCACATACTAGGCCACCAAAGCAGCCGAATGCTGATATTTCCTATTTCTATGCACAGAATGCATGATAATGCATGATGACAGGCAGCTGTGCACTTAATAGTGCATATATCTAATACTATCTTGAGAATGAGTGAGCAGCAGGCAAAAACACGACACGCAGGAGGCTTGCACTGGAGGCAGCTATGCAGGCAGGTTGCGGGCAGCAGGACTGCCCGGCTCATTTGACTGGATATGCTGACCTCTGGTGGTACTTCACCAAGACAGGATTTTTTCCCTGCTCGCTAATTTTCTTTTAGTCTTGCCCCATAGTATTGCAACAGTGCTGTTTTTTCACAAATCTGTCTGACTCTTCAGTTGTCACATATAGTGGCATATTTCCTTGACTGAGGTAAGAGACAAGTATTTGGTCCACAATGAGAAGAAAGGGTGAAGCCAAGTTTCTATTTTTGAGGTGCTCTGARATGCAGAAACACATCCTCAGGTTCAAGTCTTTGCTATTCTTTATTATTCTGGTCCCCTAACACAGCCTGAGAGCTAGCAATCTTCTTGCTCTCCCTTCCCTAAAGAGCCGTTAACCCACATGTGCTGCAATACCTTGAGGCAGTGAAGCAGGGCTTGAGCTCTGCTGTGAGCCACTTTTACATGTCCATTCCTATTCAAAGATTTTATTCTACTTTTAATGTTGAGAGTTATGCTTGCTGTAAAATGATTTTGTCAACAGCTGTGGTGTCACATTCTTTGGGCTTTTCCATTTACCCTGATATAGGCCTCTCTATTGTTAATAGCTTACAATTGAAGAGATTTACTGTTTAATCTGGCTTTTTCATTCATGCAATGTTTGAATGTTCAAAAGAATAAAAATCAACCCTTGCTGATGGGTCTTATCTCGTAAAATGTTTCAAAGTTCTGCATAGATACAGTCAGAATATCAGGCATTTTCCATGGACAATTTTCTGTCATATTCCTGTCATTTTACCTCCACATAGGTAAGGAATTTCCCTTTATCAATTGGAAAATAACTCCTGAAGCCTCCCTAGGAATTCCGTATGTACAATGCTGGAACAAGGTCTGAGTAAGAACTGCAGATGAAATGCCTCGTACATTTCTCATCACATTATCACGTGAGACAGGCTGCAGGGAGATGTTTACACCCAAAATCAAAGCTGGAATCATCATTTGAATGGTGACCAACTGTTTCATCACCAGGCATAAGTCTGTATTTTGCCTACATCTCTGCAGTTGCCTCAGAAAATCAAATTCATATCCTTCCTTAACCTGAGAAATTGAAACCCACATCTCAGTCCAGTGAAGCCCAGTGTAAAGTTTACAGACAAATCTTGGGTCTCAGCACCTTTTCTGCTGAAGTTGTTTAGCCACAAAAAGGAGAATTTAAAATTCATGCAAAACAAAACAGTACAGAGCAGTCCAGTGGTTACTCATTAGATAACGCCTATTTTGTAATGAATTTAGTGCTTTAGGATTTGACCTCTAATTAACATCATTGTCCTTTGCTACTACCTTTGAGTGCTCCACTTTATTTTTGGTTATTCTCTTTGGGCCTTTCTTCACAAGGAAATGAGGAGTGTTATTAGTATGTATTAACTTCTCCAAAGAAAGAACAGACCTTATTTTTTCTCTCTATGGTCATCAATGACAGAGTAAAAGTGCAATTACAACCCAATACCAATAGTTATCAAATAGCATTTGTATAATGATCTGTTCCTAAATTAAAATCTTTTTTTTCTTTTTGCCTATACAACTGCTCTTTCATTTCAGTTTCTCAGGAAGAGTGATCCTTACCCGCATGCTTTGCGTTAAGTGGTCATCCCTTCATTCATTTGTCATGTGAGTAAGGAGAAGGCTGAGTCAATTAATCAAAGGCTTGCAGAGCAGCACTGAGAACGTAATGGTTGGTTAAACTTTGCTTTCAGTGTACAATTCAGCCTTAGAAATTCTAAACTAGGCTTCTTTTCTTTGCCTTTTTTATCAAAATCTAATCTTGAGTCTGAAAAACCGTTCTTTTTGTTTTCGTTCTCTTTAGGTGTTTCCCTTATTCTGGATCAACTGAAGATCTGCAATAAAAGCCATGTCTGAAAGCTCAGGTTTGAGGTTTGCCTGTTAAAACATGACACTACTACAAGCTTCTGGTTTTATACTTGTAAGTTAGCTCAAGGATGAGGAAAGGGCAAGGAAGAAGAACACTTCATGAAGGGTTAATTAATGGTTATGTAAATAGTCAGTCCTTGTCACAGTTRTGCACTAGTGTTTTATTGCAACTGTTCGGTGCTTAGTGTAGCAGAATCCATCTCTGGAAACAGTTACAAACTAGCTCCTTCTTCCCAAGTTTCTAGTTAGAGGCTTTACTATATCTCGAAAAATTTCACCTGCAATGAATAACTTAAAGTGAGGAAGAGAGAGTGTTGAATGTCTGAGGACATTGCTGACATATGAGATGATGCGAAACAAAAATTAGCCCTTCTTGAGTCTACAGCTAAAGAAATAGAATTTCTGAGGAGAGCTGAGGTGGTGAACATCTTCAAAAAAAAGTGAGAGAAGTTCCTTCAATTCCTATGCTAAGTTTAATGCCTGAGGACCAGAAATCCAACCAGAAAAAAAAAAAAAAAAAAAAAAAAAAAGACCAGGTAGCAACCAAGAGGAACATTGCAAGCAAAAGTCTCTTTCCCAGAACCATCTCCAAATGGCTGAATCTGTTCTATTTTTATAAAGATTTAATTTCTCAGAATCTCTTGAACTTAATCTTTCCCATATTGTGTACTTGATCTGAAACAATAGCAGTTTTCGTTAAAAATAGAAAGCTCAAAATTTCCTCATGGTCTGTATAAGGGGGTTACTTAAGCTGCCACTGTGGCAAATGCAAAAACTCATGTTTTCAAAATGCATTTCAAGAATAGCTTGAATCTACTTTAAAAAATATGTCTACTTAGTTTAATGGTATTGGCTAGTGATTTTATCCTGTATAGTTCTCATGGCCTATATACTACACATACCTCAATATACTTGGTACAGATCTCAAAGGGGACAAGGACTGATCACACTGTCAGGGTCTGCAGTTGAGTGTAAATATTATTTCTGTGTTTTCAGCTGGGCCAAGCTTATATTTATCTGGTAGTGTTCATCAACAAGTCATAATACTCAGTAAAAGGAAGAATGGTCTTTACACTCATTTGCTTTCTGGAATTAGAGAGGAAATGATTTTTTATGGCTCAGTAAAGACARTAATAATTACTGACAGGTTTATAACAATTTATGGAGATGTTTGTTGGTTGCGGATTGTCAAGTGTTGGACCACAAGCAAATGGAGTGAATCAGAATAATCATTCTTGCATTGTTTCTCAGACATGTGAAAACAGAGAAAATGACAAGGTGACTGTTGTGTGGGGAACAAAGAAGTGCCATAAAATCACCAGTTCGGAAAACATTCAAAGGAGTGAGTATCAATCTATCCTGCTGCCTGAAGACTGGATCAAGCACTCCTGACAATCTGTTGGATCTCTTTGTAAAGAGACAGTGACACATACTCCAAAACTAAGAGGTCTGTTACCACTGTAAAGGTTTTTCTAAAGTAAGCTAAAGCTCTTGCAGTATTCTCTGCACCTCTGAGATAAAGAATGGATTATTGTCTTCTTTGCAGTACCAATATTTTACTTATTCAAAATTGTAATAATGTCCTGTATCCTCTTTCCCATACCTTAACATCTTCACTGATTTAGGCTAATCAGCCTTATTTCACTTTACCTGCCATATTTCATGAACTTCTAGCCATTCTTGTTGCTTTTTTTCTGGATTTTCTCCAATTAGTCTGAATTTCTCCTGGAGGGCAATACCTGAAACYGGACACTCATTTATAAGGTCTGGTGTCCTACACTCAAGAAAATGAGATGGGCTTCATGTCTTTATATCTTTTGTTAATGAAAAATCCTTGTCATTTTTGTTCCTTGTATTTTATGTGTGTGTGTGGTCCTAATAAACACTCTGAATATTTGTTCCAGTATGTTTCAGGAAATTACAATGATGGGWCTTTAATTAGAAGATGCTTCATTTTTTTTTCTTATTTTTCTTCTTTTAATATGTACTCCAGTGTTACAGCATCATAGTCATCCTTCATAAACTCTCAGTCGGTCACACTCAATGAGTCAGTTCTGTGGGTACTCCAGCATGCAACTCATTGGGGCCATCTGGTTTGAAGACATTCAGTTTTCTAACTTCTAATCAGCCTGCTCTAGCACTTTTCAAAGTTATCTGTATACAACATCATGACAGAAAATTATGTATAAGTATTCTCCAGATTCCATCATATGATTGCAATGCACATTTTCAGACAGATTTCCTCAGCTGCCAGAGAGTTTCAGAAGAACTAGAGATAGTTTTGTCAGCTCTGAAAGCGAAGAGATGTTGATACATGTTCCAACAAGAAGGTTATCTCTACATCCAGCATATGAAATCATTATAATATATTTTCAAGTTACTATGAGTTATTCTGTATATGCTAGGTGAAGTTTTCTCAGATGCTGTTCATAAAGATGGTGAAGATATGGGTGCTACTTTCAGGGCCTGAATGTTCTCCCAATGTGCCAGCAATTTTTACAGTGTAGCCTTAAAATTGGATGAGTCTGRTCATGCACTTGCAGATGCTTATGACAGAAGTTTTAATTGTATGACAAGTTGCAACAAAGATCCAACTTTTTTTTCTTTTGCTTATAAATGCATTTCTTAACTTCAAAAAAAAAACAACACAGAGTTGAGACTTGTTAGTGGTCCACTCTTTGTCTAGAAATCATAATTATTTGCATTTGACTAACCCTAATTATAGAATTAGGCTAAATATAGATTACCTTTGAGATCATATTGCCCTCAATAACTAAGAATTTAGACCTGCATCTTTTTATCCCTTCACTTATACAGTACAAGGAAATAGTTTCATCCTTAAAGTCTGTGAACAATTTGGACATACTGAAGTTAATAAAAAGCTTTTGATGCAGACAGGATTAATGCCTAATAGTGGAGCTAAACCAACATGAGAAGAGCAAGTCATTGGTTTCTCTCTTATATTGATAATGTTACAGCATTTAGTGCAACARGGCT